AAGCTAATTAGTGCTCTGCTTTAACCCGCTGCACCATCAGGGAGGGCCCTCTAAAACTTTTTAATACATATTATGCTATCTGTATAATTTTCAAGATTATACCTTGTTGCATGTCATATTTAATTATCCCATTATTTTCTTCTATGAGCTACACATATAGGATTGTAAATTGTGTAAAAATTTCACAATTTATAACATTGGGTGTATATTTCACTGAGAACTACTATAGAACATTCCTCTCATTCTGGTTTTTGTTTTTCTCTTCCCTACTACCATCAATTCTTTAGCTCTCATTTTGAGAAATGGCACCAAAAATTCAGCTCTCTTAGATATGCAGAATGGGACAGACTGGAATGGAGTTATTTTATTTTGAGAACCTGTAAGTTCTTTGTACAGTTTTGCAAATTTGCAAAATTATAAACATTGTCATATGTTTAATTAATAATAATGACTTTCTAGGTAAAACAGAACAAGCCAATTGCGTAAGTAGGAAATTCTCTTGGAATTACAGCCAGCAATGGTATTGTGAAACTCCTTGTAACACAAGCAAAATAAAAAGTAACTTTTCCAAATTTTGCCTGCAGCAGTCGCCATAAAACATGAACACAAATAATTCACCTTCAGGCCAAACCTCCTGCAGAACCAATAGATGGTCACTCCCATGAACACTCTGGTTACTTATTGAAATTAAGACTCTTTTCTGCTCCATCAAGGAATGTAGTACCAGATCCAAGGTCAGGCTGGGCTTCATCTTGGGGGTGGAGAGAATGGCCAGGGGCCAAGGAGCAGGGCTTGTGACTCCAGAACATGTCAGCTCAAGGTGAGATTAAGTTTTTAGAGTTGTTTTAAAGTACTCATTGTTAGAGAGTGAAAGTGGGGGAACACAAAAGGGAAATTTCACAGGGAACTAGTTAAAATTCTTTTTAAAGGACTTACTGAACACAGAGCACATCTTGGAAAAAATATGAAAAAAACACTTTTTGAAACTTTGTGAAACTGTTTTTGTTAAACTGTTAGCATAAAAAGGCTTAATTTTGACATAAATGACATTTAAAACAATTAAATGTATGGAAAGAAAATGTCTGGGAGGATATATACCACAATAGTAGTGATGGTTGGTTCCCAAGAGGTGATGTTACAACATTTTTTCCCCTCCTTTATACATTTATGTATTGCCTTTCTTCCCACCCCCCCATCCCCCAAGTAGCATGCACCCTTAACAATTTTACAATTAAGGGTGAGAAAAGAGTGGATTATTTTTGTATTTAAAATAAAAAGGTTTACAATTGGTGTTAAATATTCATATACCTAAATTATTAGCTCAAAGCACCACTGAGGAAGCAGAATCTGTGTGATAGAAAAAAAATGACTAATTAAAAACAAATGCATATAAATGCTTAGGTTTTGCAACAGCAACAAAATTTATAGAATTACAGTATCTCTAGACTTAGAGAACCCACAAATTCCTGTATGTGCCTGCTTCTGCCAACTTTTGGTTGTTTGTGGCTTTCTTAAAATATCATTGGGAGGAACTCCCAGGAATCATCAAGCCAGCTCAATGTTTTTCAAGTTATAATCTAACAAAGACTTCCAGAATTTCTATAGGAGCTCCCTATTCATGCATGTGCTCCGTTTTTTTCTTTTCTTTTTTTGGTCACACACTTTGATTTAGAGCCAAACTGTGCAGTTACTGAGTTCCTACAACCCCAGGGCCCCTTTCTCAAGTTACTTTATATGATTTCCTTAACTAACCAATGAGGTTCATGTCATCCACATTTCCCAGGAGGGGCTGATAAAGTTCAAAATTGAGTTGTTCATAGTTTCACAAGTTGTTGGCCAGCCTGGGATTTGAACTCAGATCTTAGAATTTGCTGCCCAGTGCTTTCTTTATATGATACCAAGATTGCCCCTGGAAAGTTAAAAGATGTAACTAGTAGTCTTGTTTCTCCTACAGCCTGTAGGGCCCTTTGGGTGGCACTCAATGGAGTGGTTTTCAACAGCTCTAATTATGTTAATGCAACTTATAAGTGGGAGAGGAGTTCATGGTACCACTGCCTCTAACTATGGACCACTTTTTATTTCCTCCACTCATTACTTCTCTTTACAAATCTGTCATGAATTGAGTTTTTTTTTTTTTAATTGTCTTAACAGACAATGACTTTGGATTGATGGGTGAAAAAAAAAACTGAGAAGGCAAAAGTTAAGAAAATTTGAGGAGAGTAATAAAAAATATGTCAACAATATCCAAGAATAGACTGGTGGGTTTTTCTTTGTATATACTAATATTTAAAAATACATGGGAGACTACCAAATCTTTGGTTGGTTGAATATAAACTCTAGCATATTCTAATTGATTCTGCTCTGCTGAGGAAACCTATTGGGTGTCACTGCCAACATGGTCCATTTTTTCTCATTAATCAGTTTTTTACCTTTAAAATTCAGAATATAGCAATAGACTAGATTTTTACTTTATACATCATATGATGTATGAATATGAAAATATGCATATTATACATTGGTAACTCATAATCAATTATCAAGTGAATGGTTTATTTATTTAACAAATGAATTCATTAAGTCATATTGGCAATTCAAATTGAAGTTTGTTGCACCTGGTAAAATGATAAAATTATGCTTCTGTTCACTGTTTAGTTCTGAAGAATGATGACTGAAAGATTGTAAGGTCCTTCAAGGCAAAGACAGACTGTCTTTTAGATTTTATTCATAACAACCACTTCATGAAAAACAGCTGATTTTGGAGTAGGTATTCAATAAATACTTCTTTGGTTTGCTGCACATTCTTGGTGCTGACACTGAAATAAATGACTAGATTAATAACAAAAGTAGGGATATTAGTAAATCTATCATTTTCTTTTAGCCACAAATGTCAATGTACATCAGGACATATGTTAAAAAGTTTCTTAACCTGAGCTTCAGACAAGGTTTCCTTACACCAATGAAATTTCACTCCATAATTTTTTGTAAGCCCTCTTTCCAGAGGAGAGAATTTATAGCTTCCTTTAGTTTCTAGGAAATTTATAATCCTATAAACTATTACAAGTCATTGGTATCTTATCTATCCACCTCTGCCTAAAATGCCAGCACTTATAACTAAGGAAACCTGTCTACATTTGATTGGAATAAACTATAAGCTTTTTAATCTTTTTCCCTCATTTTTTACCCTCCCTAAAGATGCCTGACCTCCAACAGAATTAATTAGCCCTAATATTAAAAAGAATAAAGGTATGTATAACACTGTAAAGACAAACAAGATAACATAAGGCTTCTTGACCTGTGCTAACCCTGTACTGAGCTGGTACTTTGCGTGCAGGTACAGATCAAGGTGGTTTTTTATCTTTTAAGACTCCAATGAACTAAGTGATCTGGGATCAAATTATGGGGGAAATTACCTGTATCTGTAGGCCTGGTCACAACCATGAAAATGAACAGTAGCACTTCAACTAACGGTTCCTACCTTTTCAATTCAAAGATCTAGGGCACTGGGCTCCCAGCATGAGTTGAGTTTGGAATTCATGGTACATGTCACAGTCTAAATTGATCTGATTTTAGTGGCACAAAGCATTTGCTTTTTATTTAGACTGACAGTATGGTATAGTTACTTGCGATGAAATCAGTTTAAAATGTTCAGCTACACAACTTTTCCAGTCTTGCGTTTTTAAGGAAGTTAATATTTGACTAGTTAATTGTATTGCTGTAAGTTGAAAGAAAAAAGTTATGTTAAGGAACATTTCCTTCTAGGAAGAAAAGTAGGAACTTTATTAATATGCTCACAGAAGACCCTGAGTTCAAAGGAACTGAAATTTAGCATGGAATGCAAAATTGGTGACTTTTGCTTCAGAAAGGATAACTGTAGTAATGCTAAGGTTGAAGGATATAGGCCTGATGCTATAGCAGAATTAGTAGTTGGGGTGACACTACTCTTATTGGCAAATGTCAACGAAGTAATGCTCTTTCTACAAGAGACAATCCCATACCTGACAAGCTCTAAGAATCATTTTTCTTATAACCCTTGTCCTGTCCTTATGCTCTAGAAGAGAAAAACTTTCATGAATGGTGACTTTTCCCTATAGGAGAGGTTAGATTTCCTAGGGCTGAAGCAAAGCAAATTTTAACCTTCTTATACACCCAGAATATCCCATTGGAGTAACTACAGAGTGCTCAGTTGCTTGTATTCTTTAGTGTGGTTGCACAATGGGTCAGTATTCTCTATTGCCTTTTTTTTTTTTTTTTTGCATGGGAGCCAGAGAGGAAAATAGTCATGCAGGGGGTGCAGGGGGAAATGGCATAAGTTAAAATCCTGCAAGCCTAAAGGGGTGGTAATGGCTTTCCAGCATCCAAGACTTTGCCTTCAGGATATGTGAAGCTAGAAAACAATGTCATTCATTCAACATTTATAGCACTCACATAATGTATGTGGATTGTGCTAAAAACTAGAGGGCTTGCAAAAGGATGCAAAAGACAATTCTTGCATGTACAGTCCTTCCAGTGATGCTATTTGAAGCATCGCCCAGACCTATGACCTTTCATATTCTTGGGTGAACAAAACTGTATTCAGAATTAAAAACAACATGGAAAGGAACTCTGTTTTAACTATGTCATTTTTTTTTTTGTGGAAAGACATAAAAATGTACTGAAAACATTTATTTCTAAAGTGTACAATATGATTTTAAAGAATAAGGAAATAGGGGTTTTAAGTGCCCAAGAGAGGCACCAGTTGGCCACACTAGCAGCTTCTTGGAGAAGGCTGACTTTAAGTAAACTGCACTGTCAGCCGAATATGAACAAAGAAGAGGCCGGCACTGTTACCTGGGAACTGGACAACTTTGAGGAAAAGTGGTTCCTAAGAGAAAATAATAACCACTTTTTACCTGGAGAAAGAAGTATTCCTCCCACCCGCCCTGCTTCCCAAGGTCCCCCAAACCTGTATGTTGACTGCGGCCACAACTGAGCCACTCACACCCCCGCTCCGCATCCTTTACTCAGGTGAGGCCGCGGGTTGCGCCAGGTTGGGTTCTACCTCCCACTCCGCGCCCGCAGCCTTGCACACGCCGGTCCCAGCCAGTAGACGGCCACGTGCGCCGGGTCCCCGCTCCGCCTCTCAGCAGGTCGGGTGCCGCCAAGGTCGCCGTGGCAACCGTGGGATCCGGATCTCCGTTCCCCACTCTGCGCCTAGCAGGGAAGTCCCGACTGGGGCGGAGGGGGGCTGGGGCGAGCGTCTCTGACCCTTCCAAGAGGAGCCAGCGCAATCGTGGGCTGCAGGCCTCGCCTTTGCTGCGTCGGTGACGCCGAGCTCGGTTTAGCTCCTCCGGGTTTGGATCCCCAGCCTGCACGCACCACGCCGCCTCCCTCTGCCGTCGCCGGGCGGGTGGCTCCCCCTGGCTAGATGCGCGTTCAAGCCTCCTTCTCCGGATTTCCGGAGGCGAAGAATTTTGCCTCGGTCCCTACTAGCATCTCCCGGCTCTCTCCCCCTCCCCTCGCGACTCCCCCTCCTCGTGGGCGCGCGCGCACTCACACACACTCACACTCGCAGGCGCGCGTGCGCACGCTCGTGCGCCCGGAGCGGCGGAGTCTCCAGCAGATCCCACTCTCTCGGGCGCCGCTACTCACACAGGCTTCCAGCCGCCACGGGGCGTCCTCCGTCTGCTGCAGCGGCGGCGGAGGCGGCCGAACGAACGACAGCTGCAGCCCAGACCGATCTCGTTGCTCAGTGCCCGGGACAGAGTCGGAGAGAAGCGAAGAAGGAGAACGTCAAGGCGTGGAGGGGCTGCGCCGCGCCCGGCGCCCGGCTCTGCGCGGCAGGCTGCCTCAGCTCCCCGTACTGCGACCCCAGGTAAGCAGCTCCCGGGCCCGCAGCATCCACCCGGCGCCCGGACCGGGAGCCCGGGCTCTCCGGTCCCGCCCCCGCCACCGCACCCGGCGGAGATTCGAGAGGAGTGGGCTTGGGGGGAGGGGAATGCAGCTAGAGGTGAGGCTGGTAGGGAGTGGTGCGTGGAAGCATGGGGGCTTCAGCGCAGCCTCCCGCGCGTTTCCTCACCCTGTCCTAGCCCCAGCCGGGTCACTTTTACAAGCCCGGGTGCCAGGCGCCCCAGACAGCTGTTAGCCGCTCTCCCGACTGTCGCCTGCCAGTTTTGGCTCAGGGCTCCGCGCCCGTCGCGCGCCTCCCTCCTCCCCGGACCTTGGACAGCGCACCCCGCAGCCCGCCGCCCCTGGTACCGCGCCCCGGACCCCGTCCGACTGGGACGGACCGCCTGCTGTTCTCTTCTTTCCAGGTTGTCACCCTCCCGCCCAACGTCCCTTCACCCCCCAGCCCTGGCCCGCTCTAGTGCGGGTCAGAAACTTTCCTCCCCGCTTTGTCTGCGCTGGGCACTATTGTTGTTATTTGTGATTGTCTCCTTACACGGAGACTCAGACACCTTGGAGCAGTCTTCCACGGCGGGAGCACATGCTGCCCGGCACAGTCGTAGTCGAAGAAGCAGGACGACGGGACTCCGAGGCTGCCAGGGTGCAGAGCCCGCGTCCTGGGAGCTGGGCGCCGGATGCCTCTCTGCCTCCCGGCGTCTCCGGACTCCACACGTGCGCGCCTCCCACGAATACGGCCCCTCCCCGACCACCCCACGTCCTCCCCCAGCACGGCCACGGCCACCCCATAGGTTGGACACCCGGGGCTCGCTGGTACTGATTGGCTGAAGATGTAACCCCACCTCCTTTCTGGAGGGGGTGATTCTGGAGTGTTGTGGTTGTTAGCTCTCAGAGCGCAGTTGGGGAAAGTGGGGTCGACAGGTGGGGAACCGACTTGGTAGGATCCCCGGAGCGCACAGTGTATAACCACTCACCCACTCTCCTTATCCAAAATCACTCCTGCTTTTCTCCTCTTCTTTCTCAGTATTTTGCTGCTAAGCTATTCAAAAAACGGATTTGAAACTCAAATTTTACCAACCCTGTATTTGTTCGGTGGTAGCAATGTTTAAAGCAGATAGAGGGTCTTAATAGAAACAATTGCATGCGCGGATGTGGCAAACTGGGCTGCGGTTTGAGTCCCAAGTAGTTCGGAGAAAGTAATGGGTGACTAAGAGATCTGAAGAGGGTGGAGTCATTGCAAAGGAAATCATTTCCTAGAGGATGAGAGATACAGGTATGTGAGCTTGAAAAGCTGAGGGAGAGGAAGTGGGTCACTTGTGAGGTGAGATGTGAAAGAGAGACCCATATGGCAGAAGTGGATGCGTTCTGCCACAGACTGTTCAGTCTGGGCAACGCAGAAATAAATACACCTAATTCTGCTAGTACCTAATTTGCTTCTGTTTTGTTAGCGTTTCTTTCTTTTCTTTTTTTAATAGTAGACTATTGTAATAAAGTCAAACTATGTAATGGATTTTGCTTGTTCCAGTTTCTTGTAGTACACAGATTTACAAATAGTAATGGATTTTAAAAGGTGGTAGTTCAAATATTCTTAAGAGATGCACTAAATGGTTAAAGTGCTTTTGAAATATTGTGAAGAAAGATGGATGAGCACTGCACAAAACCCAAAGATTGTTTTGGCATTATTTAGGGCCTTTACAGAAATGTATATGTATGCATAAATGATACTGATTTCTCTTCATTTCAAAGCATGATTGCCTGTAGCATTTTCAAGCTTTAATTCCTCCAGGCTGTTTTGATGTTGTGTCTGTACATCTCAGAATATTGTAATTCTTATCTTTAGAAGGCTTGTCAATGCAAAATAAACAGCAACTGATGTAAGTTAATGTTGACAACTTTATATTGAGTTCACTGTGTATTATTTTATTTGTAAGCTAGTGAAATATGTAGGAATAACATAGCATGAACTGTCGTTCCCCAGGGATCCATATCAAAACAAAGTGCGAAATCACATGAGGCTATTCCAGGGAGAATAATTCAATTCTTAAAATGTATATATTTTAAGATTCTTAGGTATAAGCAGTAATAGTATTTTCCTGTTTGAATTATCTTTGTACACAGTGGTAGCACATGGTAGCAAGTAAAATAACATGTTAAATCTTACATGATTTCAAAGTTGATAGCAAAGGTTTCCCATTTAATGTTATTTGTATATAAGTAGACAGAGTTGCTTTTTCCTATTGGAGGACTTTGTATTTAAGGTACAGAATCTGATATATCTGACAAATTGGAAATTATCGCCAGTGGTGAGAACATAATTCTTACAATGTTTTCACATTTCTTGGGTACGTCTTGCTTTGCTCTCAGGAATTTAGACTCTAGTTTTGAGCCTATCAAATTTAGATGGGTTGGGAGGTAGGTAAGAGAACAATGTATAGTCAGACATACACATATACCTAGATGCAAATTATGTGGACACATTTATACAGAGAATGCAGCGTACATTTAGTGGATTTATTAATATAGATGTGTACATATGTTATTGTCATTCTTTAGAATTTCTTCTCATTTACTCTTGTCCAAAAGGTGGCCGGGTTTGAAACTGTAGAAAGATTATCACCAGTAGAATTGTCCAATAGATCATGGAAACAGACAATAGTATTTTGTTGCCTGGCAACCACCTACTGTGAATGAAAAACAAAGCACTGACAGCTGCTTCCACATCCTGATATTCCTACTGTAGCTCAAGCATTACAGCCCTCCAAATGAGACAGATCTACTAAAGTTTCATTTGAGTAAGGTGAAGCTGGGTTTCTTTGGGATTTTTTTAAATGAATATTTAAAAATTTTATTGTAATAAGCATTATGTTGTTATGGTGGGATGAAATGAGGCGTCTAATTCAATTGCCCTCTTACGCCCAGTATACACTGAAAAGGGTGAGACTGGGAGTATTGTTTAGACCCTTTTTATTCTTCCCTCTATGGTCATTAAACACACAACACGTTTTTGCTGCCATCAGGTACTCAGGATATTACAAAAAAAATGAGGTCTCTTTGATTCATAAATAGATGGCATGGTTTTACTGCCAGTTGGGAATTAGTGGTTGATGTTCTTACTGAACATTTTACTTTCAAAGGAGGCTGATGTTCAGTGTTCAGCCAGGTAATGTGCCTTGACCCTGGGACAGAGCCATCTCCAGGATGTTCTTCTTTAGTCACACTTCCCCCTCCTCCATATCCCCTCTGAATTAGTCTTTCTTTGTTCTTCATTTACATAAAATGTGTAGCTGTGTTTTTTATGCTAATAAGAATACTTAGAACATACAGTAACATTTAGGAGTAAGATTTCAGTATGGACACCGGGCTTGATTATGGTTTGAGATGTACTTTATACTAGGTACTCTGCTTCCAGTCTCTAAAAGTTCTGATTCTTACCTCTCCCCAGACTGAGGAAATGCAGCCCTTTCCTTGTTTATTGCTTTGCAGTCTTTAGGTGGAAGATTGTATTGGTTAATCTGCAAGAGTTTAAACATTACAGCCAAACACTTACTTATTCTAGACTCTGCAACGTGACACTGTCTGTGCAGAAAGAGCTCTGGGAAGTACTTGGGGTAGACTGTGTTGCTCTTTAAACAACGCTATCTTGCCAGAGGTGTTACCTGAAGCCTGTTGGTGGAGGGCAAGTCACCTACCTGTGAGGGGTATGGAAGGCATAGATGACCCTGAGTGGCTTGCTGGGTGGTGAACTTGGACCACATATTGTATAATAAGCCTTTCTTCTAAATTTAGGAACTGTTTTGCATATACGATAAATTGTGACATTTTAAAGAATCTGTATTCCATTGTTTGTTATTTATACAAAGGAAAGCATTTAACTTTAATACCTCAAGTAGAAAAACCTGGTGTGGACTGGCTGCAGAAACAATGCAGTGGCTTGTTAAATACCATTTTCTCCAGAAAATCTTGTGCTTTAGCAGATTTGTAAGGGGAAATAAATTTATTTTCAGCATGTTTAACCTAGTTTTGAAGTGGCTAGGCAGAATTCAAGTGAACATCACTGAATTAAAACAAAACAAAACAAAACAAAAAACCCCAAAAAAACAAAAATCAACATTTCCCACAGGATAGTTATATTTTGTCCAGGTTACCCTTATTTAGGTTATTGTTATTTTTAAAAATTTCTGAACTCATCTGTAGTTTATACATCTAACTTAATATTTTGGAATCTTAAAATTTATCTTCTGATAGGTCTTCATGTACAAGATAATGTGTGAATGTGTATTGTAAACACAGTACATATATATATGTATATATATATTCTTTTTGTTATTTCATGCTTATAAATCAACACTGAATGTCTTGATTTTTTTTAATACTGTAAAGAGAAGCTTTAAGCAAGAGATATTTATGATTTTAGCTTCCTTATGTCAGCTTTTGCTATTCAAACCTGTAAGCTCTCACCTATCCAAATAGGATGATTGATAAAAACAAGAAAACAAATAAATATATATCTAAGCAGTACCGCATTTGCTACCGAGCAGGTTAGCCAAGAAAGCATATTTTCTTATTCTTAGACACAAATAATCTCCCACACATACCCACATACACATTGAGTTTAATATTTGTAGACTTCTATCTTCAGAGTAGATAGTAATAGTATCTTGTAGTAGCTTTTTAAGTAAAGTTAATATGTTCAGGTTTTCAAAAGTACAGTAGCATGGGGAAATGCAATAAAATTATTCCCTTTAGAAAACATTCTGCTATGTGCCCACAACATACCCCATTTCCTGCACTGCCCAGTTTACCTACAATGTGCCCTCTTTCTTGATGTAATAATGCAAGTATTTCAGTCTCTCTACAAATAGTAAAAGTTGCGAAAGTGGACAAAACATGGTTGTTGCTTTCTACTACTGTATGAAAAGCGTTAAAGTAGTTAACATATGTAGTATTACTTTGGAATATGCTTCTTCTCCG